AAAGCAGAAATTGGGCAGAAGGTGCTAGTTACTCAGACGCATTATCAAAATATTAGGAGACGGTCATTCTTGAGGTGGGGTTCAGACGGACTCGATCAATGGCCGGTGGAAACCGTGTTCGTTTTGAAAGACAGCAGGTGTTAAAACAATGAGAAGTGACCTCCTTTGCACCTGGGTTACAAAAGCTGCCCCTGCGTTTGTGGGAAAAAACACAGGATAATAACCAAAATAAAAAACATCCTGCCCGTGGCTGGTTCCTTTTCGTTTTTTTCTCACACTGGGCAGTTTTATTTATAGACGATAAGGCAGCCAAGCAGAAACACACACACACACACACTCACTTCCCAGCGGAAGTGATGTTTATCGGATGGAGAACAGCCCTGGTCTTTGTATCTTCTGTTCTCTCTGGGATTCCACCCAGAGCCCGACGGACGGATGGCTCACACCCCTTTCAAACCACTTCACTAGCATAGTTTCAAGAAAACCTGTCAAGGAGGACTCATTTCCCGGCCAAAATCTGCTTTGCGGTGTTACCGTCAGGGCCTGGACGGCAGCCAGGCCGCACGGCCACACTCTGCTCAGGGGGCTCCTTGCTCTCAGCTGCCGGCGGCCGCCGCTGTCAGGCGGATGGCTGCGTTACCAGCCTCAGCCGCACACCCTGGGAGGAGCAGGTCTTTGACAGCTGGGACGCCCCCCGAGGCTCCTCTGGACCCGTGAACTGGGAACGCTGCTCACTGAGCTGTGGGCTTCGAGCAGACCCCCGGGCGGCCCCTGCAGCCGAGGGGACCAGCCGCTGCACGGTGGGGTGCGGCCTCTGACTCGCGCCCAGGGCTCTGCGCACCAGGCATCTAGTCCTGGTAACAGCCCCCGGAGGCCAGCGGCACTGTCCCCGTTCCAAGTCACAACGTGTCCCGGACTTTGGGGGGTGGCTACAAGGAGTCGTCAGCGTGGATGCGTGTCTCCGAACACCAGAGGCCTACTCGGTTCCCTTTAATAGTCACAAATGAACAAAACACCTGTCTTATTTATTCCCAGCTGCGTGGGACAATGCAAGAAGCAGCACCTCATCAAGCTGCTTCTGTGCAGACAGACGTCAGACCTCCCAGGTGGCCTGTTCCAGCAGGAAGTTCAATGCCGGGCATTTTGAAACACAGCTCTTAAGGAGAATGACGCTTCGTACTCGGAAGCACAGACAACGCCTCCCCTCCCCCACTCCACCCCGCATCTGAGCTGACGGGGGCGGCCTTCCGACTCCATTCAAACCGTGCCCATTTGACGGGGCCGGGGCCGCCTTCGCCAGCTGCTGGGCCACCTGGGGGTCGGGCAGTGTGGAGGGACCTCACCGGAGCCCGTGCCCGTCCTTGGCAGCGCGCCTCCGAGTCCCCTGAAACCTCAGACTTCTCCGAGTCCAGTCCCCAAGGTCGTGGGCGAGCTCCGCCATGGCCTCGTGACAGGGGAGGGGGAAGAGTGGGAGGAAACCACCGGCAACACTCAGGCACCGAGTTTTCAGAAAAACATTGCAGGAACGAAATCACCCTTCTTCTAAGCACCGAGGGTCGCACCCTTGGGGGTTCTAGCACGCCCCACATTGGGAGCGAGACAAGCGGGTGTTCTCCACATGTAGAGATGGACCTGGGTGCAGAAACGTCACCGGAGCCGCTTCAAGCCACACTGTTCGGAAATGAAGGGTTGGGACCGGGAGTCTGACAGCTCCAATTGTCCCCAAGCCCATCCGTATCCTAATAAAGCACCCACTGTGTTTTCAAATGAATGGTGGGGCTTCTCATGTGCCCGATGACAACGTAGCCTGTTTTCAAGTGTCGGCGGAGTCCCCCAGCACCCTACGGGAGAGGGACCACAGGAGACTGGTGCTGTCACCGAGCCACGGCCGTAAGCGGCTGTGAGACGGCCTCCCCGCCACCCCTGCTCTTCAGGGAGGTTGCCGAGCTTCCTGTTCTGTAAGGGCTGGGACACTGGGTTTCCTGTTACTTGCATTTGAAAACGTGCCAGTGTGTAGCGAGTGCTCCGTTTCCTGAGGGCCTTCACACTTGGGAACATTCGCTTCAGTGAGCAGGAATAGCTTGGGTCACGTCTCCCCCAAGAACTTTGTAAACGCTGCTACTTCTTCATCTGACAGGGATGGGGACCCCCATGCCACTGTGGGGACCTCTTGCCATTTCTCCTGGAAGTTGATCGACATGTCCTGGGCATCGTTGTCCCCTGTCAGTGTTTCCTGGACCAGAAGGAGAACGTGTGATCTGCAGATGCAGTTCTTTTATTTCATAAATGTGCCCTTACACCTTCAAAAAAATTGACGTTACGAGTCTTGCTTTCAGGAACACCAAAGAACCTGTTTCTCACGGCTGCGACGCCTCGGTCTTGTTCCGCAGGCGGTGGGGCGGGCCAGGCTCTGCCCCCCGGGTCAGCGGCTCAGACGGTGCCCGGCCTCCTTCCCGGCCGTCCTGCTCCGGCCTCCGTGTCGGACAGCTTCCACCTTTCACCCGGTCTCCTTCGTCACGGAGCCTTCTGCCACTGCTCGCTGTGTTGTTTTATGCTCTCTCCCGGCTCTCATTCTGTGGTTTTCATTACCTCGCCTACACAACATCACCGACACAAAACACACGTATAAAGTTTTCTTCTGCTGGCTCACATCTTCCTCCGGACCAGGCTCCTCACCCGTCTCAGCCCCGCTGCTGTGCTCGTTTCCCCCCTTTTACCGAAGTCTCGGATTTGAATGCGAAATGTGCTGCTATTTGCTTAGTGATGTTTAACATGCGTTGCTCTCTGCAAATTTTCTACGTGAGAAATGTAATGGGGGCGAGTTCGCCATGTATCTGAATGGTGTTGCCAGCTGGGTGAGTGCACTTTTATCTGCTTGTCGGAAGCCTTGCCTCCTCCCCCCGCCCCCCCCCCCCCCGCCGCCGTGAGGGTGAGAACGGATCCGCTGGGTCTGTGCCAGGTCCGGGCTCTGCCCTCTCTTCTGAAAGTCCAATAAACCCACCAAGGGCAAGTCCACCATGCCCTTGCCCTCGCTAAGCACGCATCCTATTCCTCTGACAAAATGCCCTGCAACTTGGACACTTTGCCTCCATTCACTGCAAGGCCCCGAAAACGGTCAGGGCCTGTGGGCGGCAGGACCGGTCCCTGCTGACGATGGTTCTATCTCCCTGGGTTCTCCCAGGTGGCTTGTTTATTCTACTTCACACTTGCTTACTCCACCCCGTCAGCTCACTTCGTAGGCGGGGGTCCCCTTCGCAGTGGAACTACGAGTGAGAGTTCTGGTGTGCTGCCGCCTGGTTTCCTCCCCCGCAGGGAGTCACCGGAGGCGGGGGGTGATATGTGGATACCGCTCTGCGGCGCAGTACCGAGTGTCCAGGCTCCGGCATGAGGTTGGACTTGGCCTTTTGTTCGGTCGCTCCTTTATCTTTGGCTGGTTTCTATTCTTCTGTTGGTTGCACCACGCACGGTGGGACAGAGGCTCTGCGACCCCAACTGGGTCACTTCTGCGTGGCGGTCCTTGCCCTTCTGACTGCGTTCCTTCCGACTCCGCTCCTGTAGGAATTGCAGGGTATAACACTGGCAAATAAGTCTCAACAGTTCTACACATGTGTCACAAGCGTATGTATGTTTGTGACACCGTCCGTCTTGTCAGTCAGTCGGGCAACTGCGCGGCTCACGGCCCGCTGAGCGGCCGGCGCCAAGGAGGAGACCAGAGCCACACACAGTAACTGCTGCGCACTCGGCGTTTATTGAATGCAGGCAGGCTCACTCAAAGCAGACCATCAACGTACATTACTGTCCTACTCGCACTCTGCCCATCTGTGAGAGGAATATCACACACCCAGACATATCAGTGGGGGATAAGGAACCCGAGTCCCAGAGTCTTGGTCTGCGGTCCAGGAGACAGAATGGTGGGAAGGGAGTCATCAGCGTCTTGCAAGGAAGGATCTCCCAAGCCAGGTGGGCGGCGGGGCAGGCGAAGTGCTCCGCCCAGCAGGGCAGAGGCTCCCCCGGCTGACATCGAGGGAGACCAGCGTGCCTGCAGCAGCGGCCCTCCGGGGCGTGGAGCTGGGCTGTCTCAGCGGTGCTCCGGAACCTGCCTCGGTTATACCTTGGAAGTGATGTCCTCCACCCTGCGGGGTGTCTTGGTAAGTGTCTTGGCACCCCGCTGCCAAGTGTGGACTTTGCCCAGGCCCCTGTGGGTGGTACAAGGCTGTTCTGCGGGACACCCGGGATCTGACCACGTGTGCAGGTATCTTAAGTGTCTCCTTGCCAGCGCGTCTGCTCTGACTTAACACAGCTTCCGTCTAGGACCCAAGTGTCAGGGCGCACCGGCAGCCATTTTGGTTGACATGAATGATTCCACTTTGTTTTACAGGCTTCGTACTATCTTAACCGGACCAAGGCCATTTTGTTGGTCCTGCGCTCCACAGTGCAAAGGGACAAGGACGAAGAGAACAATGGGAGTGACTCGCTCGCTCACAAGGCACTGGCAGCTCCACTTTCATTCCGCCCCCGAAGGGCGGCGTCAGCGCCTGCGTCTGTCCTGCACCCCCAGCCCGAGTCGGCTCCTGGCCGGGAGCCGCGGGCCGGGGACTCTGAACGAAGGAACGACTGTTACCTCCCTTTACAGATGGGGAGACGGAGGCCACCGCATTCGAGGCCTCGTCCAGGACTACATTTCGGAAGATGGAGAAAATGGGGCAAACGGGCCCCAGCGGAGGATGGGACCTGGGGCCTCCCGAGAACGCCCGCGGGGCGGGCCCTGCGGGAGATCCGCCCCTCCCTCCGGCTCCCGAGCGGTTGCGACTCCAACTGCTAACCGCCAGCTCCAGGAGGGGCTGCCCCGGCTTCCGGCGTCAGGCGCGGTTGCCACGGAAACAGCAGGCGGAGGCGCAGGCGCGTAGCGAGCAGCGGGGGCAGGGCGCGCAGCTGGCCGGAGGCTGAGAGGAGGGGCACTGCGCAGGCGTAGCGCCTCCGTTGCTAGGTTCCGGCTCGCAGTCACGTTCCAGAGCCTCGGGGTAGCGCTGAGATCCATCTCATCCCACTCTCTGTGCTTGCGCATCCCTGGCTGGCACCTTTCCTTGGCCACAGTGCGAGGATCCCCCAGACACCTGCTGCTCCTTCTGGAAGGACCACTTCCTGAGTGCCTGTGGTGGGGTCCTGAGACCTGCAACCCTGCAGGCCTTTTGGAGGGCGACAGAAGAGGTTCCGGGCAGGCGAGGGAAAGAGGGAAAGTAGCCAGCCATGTCGAACAGGTAAGTGATGCGCTGCTGGGCCACAGCCTTAGGGTGGTCTTCTCCAAACCAAAAGATGCTTGCTGCGCTTTGCTTTTTTCTTCTCTTTTCTTCTCCCACCTCCTCCCTTTCTTTCTTTATCCATTGTAACAAATAAAGGTACTTCACAGGCTAGAGTATCAGCTTCTTGTGGACAAGGAATGTCAGACACTCAGATCTCCCTCCTCCCCCTCGCACTGCCTCCTCCAGGCCCCCTGCTGGGTCCCCTAAGCCCTGCTCATGTACTTTCAAGGAAGCAGAACCTTCAGAACTTCATAGCACATTGCCTGCTTTTATGTTACATTTCACAGTAACATATGCTTGCTTTGTGAAAGCACCCAGGTTCCAGTATTACATCAAGAAAGGTCCTGAAGAAGCCTTATTATACCCCCTGCTTTGCGCCAAGCGACACCAGGCAGGTGGCAGTGAGAAGGGCCTTGACCTCGCCCTGCCCCCTGCCCTTGCACCGCAGCCTTGAAATAGAATGACTTTCAATCTCACGACACCCCTTGAATGCAGAGGTGCAATATTATGTCCATTTTACAGATGAGGAAACTTGGGCACCAAGAGGCCAAGCAGCTCGTCGGTGGCAACGCAGGCACGGTAGCTCAGCCTGCACCGTTAACTCACCCCGTTGGCTCGGCAGGAAGTGGGAGTGGGGAGGTCAGGGGCCTGCCGGGGGTGGCAGGCGGGGGAGATGAGGCATCCAGCGTCGGGGGCGTTGGGTCGGAAGCGCCAGCTGGCCGTCAGACGGAGAGCAGGGAGGCAGCCGAACGTTCTGGTCTCGAGTTCGCGAGAGAGGCCCGAGTATGAAATGGAAACTGAGAGCCGTGGGTGTGTGGGTGGACTTCGTGAGGCACGGAATGAGGGCGGACGGGGGCCGAAGAGGCCCAAGGGCTCGGACAGTCAGAGGCTGGGGGCAAAGGCAGAACACAGCAAAGAGGTCACAGGCGTGACCGGTGGTGGGGAGGAAGCAGCATTGCGGGGTCCTGGAAACCAGGTTGAAACGAAAACGTTCCTCGGAGGAGGGAGTGACAGACTCTGTGAGATGCCGCTGAGGCAAGCCCGAGGGGAACTGGGAACTGACCGTCGACGTGGCTGTGTGGCGTCCGGCAGTGACCCTGACCTTCAGTGGGGCGATGGCGCGGAAAGATTGAGTCGGGTGGTGAGGGCAGGAGAGAACGGGAGAGAAACGGCAGACGGGGAGCGCAGCTAACTGTTTGAAGGAGTTTCGCTGTAGTTGGTGGCGGGGAAACGGGACCCGGAGACAGACTTTTTTTTAAAGATAAGAAACAATGGCCCATTTGTTATTTGGGGGGAATGGCCTCTGGTCAAGGAAACGGGATGCTCTGGCTGGAGCGGGGGACTCCGGTGACGTCCGCGCCGGAGAGGGCCCGGGGCCCAGCTCCAGGCCTTGGCTGCAGATGGAGGAGCGGTGGCCGCAGCCCCAGGAAGGGCAGAGTGGAGGCCCTGCAGAAGCGTGTGGTCCCAGCGTGGAGGTGGGGGGCGGGGCGGGAAAGATGGCGTAGACAGTGGGCGAAGGCCGCATCGAGGGACATGGGCAACACCTCCTGGTGCAATCAGGTTCCCAGCTGGGGAGCAGTGTCAGGGCGGGAGAATGGTCTGGAAGGGGCGACAGGAGCCAGGCGGGCCCTTGACCCTGCCCCCGACCCTTGGGAGAAAGGGAGCCTCCCCGTGAGGACTGCGGTGTCCTCAGGAGACAGCCAGGCCTCCCTCCACACAAACAGGCTGAGGGAACATTCCAGAAAGAGAGCCAACAACCAGATAATATTGGGAGAATGGAAGGCTCGGCGTGTATAACATGACGTGGCGAGAGCTCCCACTCTGCAGCGCTCGGTTTTCCGTGGAAGTCCGAGGCGTGTCTGCGCACTCGTGCCCCCCGCCCCCACTGCAGCCTGGGAAGGCAGCCAGGCCGCGCATGTAGGAATCTGGTCTTCCTCAGCTGTCATATTCCATCTCCTCCACCCGCAGTTGCCCTGACTTCAGTCTCTGTAACATCTCTAGGTCATCTGCTCAAGTCTGAAACCAATCAAGTACTTAGAAAATGCTAAGTAGCCTCATGGATAAAATAGTACCTTCTCCTTACAAGGCGCATGTAAAGTCTCCAGAACACTTCCACATCTGTTATCCCCCGCCGCGGTAATCCTGTGGGGTGTCCGGGGCGGGCGCCAGCACCCCGCCGGAGGAAGGCAAGGCACGGGGGGGTGAGTGAACGGCCCGAGCCCGGCTACCTCAGGAGGCAGGTTCTGACGTTGCGCTACGAGCGCTTTGCCTTTGAAGACCACCTTGCCACACCCAAGAGAAATACAAACACATGCCCACACGAAAGCCATACGGAAATGCTTGCGGCGGTGTCACTCACAACACCCAAGAGGCAGGACAGCCCAGGCGTCTGGCCACGGAGGCATGGGCACCCACAATGCGGCGTCCGCGTGCAGCGGCACGGTAGTCGCCACCAAAAAGGAGCGAAGCACAGACGCGAGCTGCCCCACGGGCCAGCCCCGAGCACACGAGGGCGAGGGGTGGGCACAAGGACCACCTGTCGCATGGTTGCACGTAGGTGCCATGCCCGGAGCAGACAGAGACAGATGGGCCGGTGGTTGCCTGGGGCTGGGGGCGGGGGGCGTGCCCAGGGGCTCACAGGGCGAGACTGCAGACGAGGGCGGAGTTCCTTTCTGGGGTGGAGAAAACCTTCGGAAATCAGATCCACGGGAGAGTTGCGCAACTCTGGCAACGTGCTAAAAACCACCAAATGCGCCCACTTTAAAAGGGCGCATTTACGGTTTGGGGGTTCTCTTGCCACATCCCTCATCTAGGGTGCCCTGTGCAGGTCTCCAGGATGCTGCGACCTCAGGGCAGGAAGGCGGGGCGGGGCTCCAGCGGGGTGGGGCTTCGAGGGAGGTGGGGGCTCCACAGGCTGGCCTGGCCGAGGCCCAGCGTCCAGGCGCCTGGCAGCCGGGGGGATGGAGGGGTTGTGATCAGTGGGCGCACGTGGAAAGCGCCAAAGACAAAGTCAGCCTCCAGGGTAAGGGGTATGATGCAGGGGTCAGCGTGCTCAGATAGCCCCTAGTATTAATATTTTCCCATCAGCCAACCAGCTTTGCCTGGTCTCTCCAAGGAAGGTCCCCAGAGAGACAGCAGGTGGGGGAGCACCGGCCAGAGCCCGAATGGCAGGGCCTGGAAGACTCAAGCCACCAGAAAGGTCTCTGGCCAGGAGTTCCAGAGGGGGGCCAGCTCCGCCAGGGCCTGAAGGGGCTTCTGCGCCTCGGAGCCCGGGTGGGAGCTGCACAGGCCCCGAGCTGGGGTGGCAGGGCCCTGCCTGGGTCTGCTCCAAGCACAGCCCGGGCGGCCATGGCTCTGGATGTGCTCCCCTCCGCCCCCTGGCCCGCATCCCCCTGCGGAAGCCTCCTCTCCCCCCAGGCCCCGTGCCCTTGATGGGTCTGCAGCTCTGTGGGGTTCAGGTCACCCCGCCAGCAGCTGCACAACCTTGAGGCTGACGGGTGTGCGAGGTGCTGTGATGTCTGATAAGATGCCCTTTATCTGTTAGTGTCGGCTCCACCCCCACGTGGGGAGCTGGGACTGGAATTATTTATAGAGCCTGCACTGCATTAGTGCCGAATTCCTGGTAATATTAAATCTGCACGTCGGTCTCGGGGGCCTGCTCTCTTTATATCTTGTCTCCGCAGGCAGGAGCGGATATTGCCTTCTGCCTGCGCTGAACTTCTGCCACTAGCATTCTGGAATTTTCTTCGGCTTAGCTGTGGGTTTGATCTGCGTCTTTCCACTTTGCTCTGCTTGTCGACTTCTATTTTGTTGCCGATTTCCTTGGGTTTTGCTGTGGAGTCGTTCATTGGCAGTTTTTAAATTTCTTTCGTATCAATCCCTTATCCCTTTCTGCTTCCGTTTTTCTTTCTTTTTTAAAAAAAATTATTTTTAAGGAAGGAAGGGAGAAAGAGAAACATGAATGTGCGGTTGCTGGGGGCGTGGCCTGCAACCCAGGCATGTGCCCTGACTGGGAATCGAACCTGCGACGCTTTGATTCGCAGCCCGCGCTCAATCCACTGAGCTGCTCCAGCCAGGGAATCTGCTTCTGGTTTTCTGGGGGCATTTCTGGTGTTTCCCTAGTGGAATTATCGTTGGCGTCTGGACTCCAGCGTTCTGAAGCACCGTCGCCCTCTGTCCTTTGGAGTGTGTAGATAATGCTCTTAATCAGGCGTGTGCCGTAAATTAAAATTTATGGGGCAGCATCTTGGTATCTGCGGAAACAATCTCCGGTTTTGACCGTCCCGTTGCCGGGTGTAGTTCGGCGATGGGCTGCCCTCTTCCGGATCCAGAGACGACCCCCTACCCCGAGGTCGCAGGGAATGGTCCTTTTGATCTGGCGCCGCGTTCTGTTTGCTGAGTGGAATTTCAGATCCAAGTTTAAACAAAACCAGCCTGTAATTTTCTTCTGTAATGTTGTCCTGACAGGTTTAGTCCCTAAACCCAATGGAGGCCACAGGGTGAGCGCCGGTTCTTCTGTTTTATGGGAACATTCGTTGAGCCCGTTGGAATGCAAGGCCCACGGCCCGGCGGGTCAGCGGGCGCCTCGGGCCGCTGCCCCCTCCCCGGCGCTGGAAGCCGGGGCCCCTCTGAACCCTACAGGATTTTACATTCTCCAGGCGGCGTTGGCTAAGCCTCTGGGCCTTCTGCTCCGGAGCGCATCCATCCGGCCCCTGCCCCTCGCTGCTGCCCCCCACCTCCCGGGTCTGCGTGTCTGTGTGAGCCGGGACAAGCGGAATTGCCGAAATGCCCCCGGTACTTTCACCAGGGGGTGACTTTGTTGCTCTTCTCTGGGGCTGCTTCTGGTAAAGAGCCCTGGTTTCGAGGAGGCATTAGTGGGGTGCCCTGGGCTAAAAATGACAGTCTAGCTTTCTGACAATCACCTCCTCTTTTCTGATGGGCGTGGCTAGCACAGCGCTCCTGTCTAGCACTCCTGTTAAAAGTGCAGCGAAGTTTGGAGAAATCCGGTTCTTGAACCCAGCGGGCGGGCGGGGCGCCGGGGGTGGGAGGCAGTGCGCAGACTCCCTGGGCCGCGGGGGCAGGCGGGGGAGGACAAGGGGGACACGGGGGCTACAGATGTTTGTGCCCTTTTGGTGTCCGACACATCCAGGCCACACGGTGCGTTTTCTCCCCCGTCACCTTGGCAAGAGCTCTGGCTGTCTATTTTGTGGTGCCGGGGGGTTCTTCTATTTGCGGTACAGGCAGGGGTGGCTCGGTGTTGAATGGTGGTCCGGGCTTAAATCACACAGACCTGGGCTTAAGCGCTGCCCCCCACCCGCCCACTCGGGTGCAAGCCATCTCCTCCCCCCGATGTGGGGGTGGGTGATAGGAGCCCCTTTTCGTGGACCGTCACCGGGATACCAGTAGGACAAAGGTGATGTGTGGTTAGCGGCTCAGTGAGGCTCACGACTTCTCGCTCCCGGGAAAGGGTGGCGCGTGGCGAGGAAGGGCCCCGGGGCCAGAGCAGAGCACGGAGAGGGGATGCCTGGGAATGACCTCGGGGGGGGGGGGGCCCATGGCAACAGGTGGATCGAACGAGCATGTCTGCCGCCACCTCCTCCCGAACCCCCTCCCGCATGCCAGTAAAGAGTTTAAAGGGCTGTAAACACCCGAGGGCCAAGAGGACACTGGGGCACTTGATGAGGGGTGTCACAAAACTGTAGGAGGAGGGAGAGGCGGGTCAGAGACCGTGGTGCCAGGGCCAGGGGTGTGGGGGGCGGGCAAGGGAAGGCACAGCCCTGGAAAGAGCGCGGGGAGGTCTGGTCCTTCTGGGCTGGGCTGGCAGGGTGAGGACTGGCTGGACATCTGTAAGGGGACCCGTCCACCCCAGGATCCTGGCAAGGAGGCACGCGCAGGCGGCCCGGGGACTCCAGGCACGGGGGGAGGGGGTCGAGGAGGGGCTGCCTGTGACGAGGAAGTGAGAGCCCTCGGCGCTTTGCTGGCAGGGGGTTGGGGCCGCCCACGCAGCCCCAGGGAGACGCAGCAGATGGGGGCCGACATTCTCGGGGGGCCCCGGTCCGCGGCGGCGGCTGGGGTCCTGGCCACTCCCTCACACCCCGGCGATGCCCACTGACAGATAAGCCCCTCTCCAGACACGGTGAACTGCCGTTAGCTTTTCCCGGTGAGTCTCGGCTCTTACATAGCGTAAAAGAGCCAAAAATCACCCAGTATTTTTATAGAAAGTCTCCGCCACGCATGACAAGAGAAGAGTGGCACAGCCAGCGGTGGGGACTGGTGGAGGGAGCCAGTGACACAGCTGTGAGCTGAGCGCAGGGGACCCGCCCCAGAGTGGGGTGGGGTGTCCAGGGTTGGCAAGGCCGGGCCGTCTCCAGCCTGAGCCTCGGGTAGAAGGAGGCAGCCAACCGCGTGCCGGCGCACCGGGCGTCGGGGAAAGGGCAGACCCCCACCCCCCAGCCCAGCGCCCTCTGCTACTTCCCGTGGGCTCCCGCCTGGAGCGCCCAGCGCCGCCGAGGGAGTCCTCAGAGGACAGCCTCCCAGCCACCCGCTGCGCCGCGCTCACCAGCCTCCACACCGCCCGTCTGTGAGGTCCGTGCTGGGCGCTCGGCGCTGCGGTCCCTCGCGGTCACCGCTGGGCGGCGCCGGCGACCACACCGCACTGTGCTTGCTCCTCCTCCTGCGGATGGACACCCGGGTCACCCCCGGTTCTCGCTGTCGTGAAGACGCGTTTCCGCGGCCGTTCCCGGTGCGGGTTTACGAGCGCTTCTCTGGGGAGGCCCCGTTCCTCGGGAGGGACGCGCGCACGTGTGCGCACGTGTGCGACTTCACGAGACCGCCCCGAACCGCTCTCCGGAGTGGCTGACCCAGCGTGCCCGCACCGGCTCTCCCCGTGGACGGATGCGCCGACGAGTCTGCTTGTCGGCTTCCGCGCGGGCTGCGCCGGTACGGCCGGGATCCCCTTTGCACCCCCTTTGCACCGTTCAGGCGAAAGGCTTCCTAACCTCTCCCTTCGGTGGCGGCCGCAGCGGCCGCACACAGAAGTCACACGCCCCGGGACAGCGGGCAGCGTCCTGGGCTCCCCGTTGATGACGAGCAGTCACAGCGGGCCGCCCCGGACGCCAGCCCGCGTGCCTCCCGCAGCGTGGTCCGTGCTCACCGCGCTGCCCGAACTCCGTCTTTTCCAGAACGTACAACCAGATGTGGCGCCAGACCCAGGAAGCCCTCAATTCCCTGCTGGACAAAGAGTCTCAGAAGAGGGCGGAGCCTCCCAGAAGCGAAGTGTTCATCTTCCAGATGCTAGCCACCTTCTACATCAAGTACGTGCAGATCTTCCGGAACCTGGAGGACGCCTACGACCAGATGGTGCACCCGCAGAAGCGAATCCTGATCCGGAAGGTCCTGGACGGGGTGATGGGGCGCATCCTCGAGCTGAAGAATGAGATGGTGGAGCTGGAGCTGGCCGAGTTCCACTACTTTGACGATATCTTGCAGGACCTGAAGTTGACTCCGGTAAGTACCCGGTTTTCTCGAGAGCGTCTTTTTGTGGTCGGTGAGACGGGCAGTCCCGTGGCCGCTGCTCCGCAGGCGGTGCGGGCGTGTCGACCGGTTCTTTGCCTGCAGAGGTTGAAAGGCAGCCCTCCAGCAGACGGCACTGCTGTGGACGTAGCTCGGGGGGGCCCTCATTTTGGGCACAATCTTTACAGCCTTCGGGTCTGCTGGACACTGAGGTTACTGTGATTTTGCTGGTCACCGTGGCGTCCGTCCGGGCCGGTTGGAAGGGAGATCCGGTGACCCCTTCCCGAAGATCCGGTGGCACAAACCTTCCCGGTTCCCGTGAGCAGCGCCCCTACTTCTGTTTCCCAAGGAAATCTCTCTGGCCTCTCCCTCCCGGCCCCCCTCTGCCTGAGCAGCCTTCGGTGGTTGCTGCTTCCCTGCTCCCAGGCAGATGTGCCTCCTCCATTGTTCGGGGTCCACGGTGACTCTGAGGGTGTGTGGCAGTGGCCTCCGAGCCTCGGACCCCACGACGGCCCCCTCTCCCAGGCCCTGGAGCTCTCCTGCTGCCACCCGTGGCCACCGCACCTTCCCGGGACTTCTGCCCCGCGCTGCCCTCCGACCCCGCCCGCCACCCTCCCAGGATCTCCTCCGACGCCCTGTCGCTGCCTGCCTGGCGGGTCTCCCAGGGGTCAGTGGGCGCCGCACTCAGGGGCACGGTCCCCAGAGCCCAGGCTTCCTTTGGAAGGAGTGTTTCCTTACAGTAGAGTTAAAGGGGGGAAATGTTTGACTGTCTACATGGAGGTTAATGTTTCTTCCTTTTGAAAATATGTGGGCGTCCTTGAGGGTTACGTTTCCTGCTGGGACAGAGTTTCCCAGCCGAGGCCGGCCCCGTGTCAGGACAGACTAAAGAGAATAACTGAAATGCAGGAAGGGGGTGAGGATCATTCGAAAACTTGCGTGTTTTTCACATTACAGTTTTTAGTGTGTGCAGCTTACTCACCTGCGTTAAAGTATCGTGAACAACTGAGGGCACACGTGAGAGGAATGGTCATTCAATCATAGTCCTAAATATAATTACTTACTTAATATTGAATTGGTTTCGACCAGGCCTGGTGGCTCCTTTGGCCGCATTGTCGTCCTGTGCCCCGGAACATCATGGGTTCAATTCCCGGTCAGGGCGCGTGTTCAGGGTGTGGGCCCGCCCACCAGTCGGGGTGCGCATGGGAGACAGACAGACAGACAGTGTTTCTCTCCTACGTCTCCCTCCCTCCCTCCCCTCTCCTTGTCACCTTTCCCCTCTCTCTAAAATCAATAAACATATCCCCAGGTCTGGATTACATTTATCAGTTTGATTTTAAGAATATTAAATAATATTCTCAAACCTAAGGCATGAGTTTATACAGTTTATGGGGCAGGTGTGTTCGGTTCCTCCCCCACGTTTCTTACTGCTCCAGCCGGTCTGTCTGCTCAGAGACCGACGCGTCAGGAGGGGCCGCGGAGCCGCCGGCTGGGCGCCGGGAGGGACGGAGAATGGGTGACGCCCTCCGGGAAGCCTGCGCCGCAGGACGCCGCCGACAGTGTCTCCTGCCGGCGCTGGAAGGTGCGGACCGAGCCCGGCGGCGGCTCTGAGGGCCAGCTGGTCCGGGGGTGCCTCCGGCAGCAACAGTGTGGGCTCCTCGGACAGCGTCCCGGCCAGGGAGACACGCCGATCTTGGGAAACGTCCGTGCGGGCCAGGCCCGCATTGCGGGGTGGAGCCCCGACCGACCAGCCTGCTCCGTGTCTGGGCTCCTGGAGCCCCGTCTCCTGAACAGCCCGCAGCGCCCTGGGGCCAGCACCCGGCCCCTTGTACCACGTGACCAGCACCCCTGACCGCAGCCGGCTGGTTCGGGGACCTGGTGCGGCACCTGGTGCCTCCCTGAAGGTCTGACCCAGGACGGAGGGAGAGACTGGCTTCCCTCTTGGGTCCGGGTTCTCATCCCCCGGGCCCCGTCAGCGGGTGGAGACGGTTCGGCAGAGTCTCGGGACGGCGGAGAAGGCTGCTCTTCAGAGAGGAGGAGAGAGAGGAAGCAGAGCAGACTCCGGAGGAGCAGGAATAAGCGTCAGGGCCCTGAAGGCATCTGCGTCCCGGACACGTCCCTGCTGCGGACGGACACTGGGCTGCGTCCCTGCCCTGGCTCCACAAGGTCCCCAGCCCCGCCATCGGGGTTCTCTGGGGGCTAAACTAGCCAGAGGACCGTTTCTGGAAGCTGCCGCATCGGGAGCCCTCCTTGCTAGGTCCTCTAACTCGGAAAAGCAGGTAGGGGGAGAGGTGCTCCGCCCCCAGAGGTCTCCCAGGTCCACCCGCGGAGACCAGAACCCCCGGCGTCTGTGGAGGGCGTGACACGGGCTGTGGACGGAGGCCCCGAGGCGAGCCCGGACTGCCCAGCGCCTGTCCTCCCTCCCTGCCGCGCTCAGTCGGCCGGACTGCCCCGGACCCTGCCTGCCTGCAGTGTCCTGGGTCCAAGTGGACCGGATGGAGCCCCGCCAGAAGTCTCGTCTTCGAGGTCGGGGCAGCGCTGACCTGCGCGTGCACAAGCGGGATCACAGCGCGAACTGCAAGTGCGGCTGTCTGACCCCGGGCTGCCCTTGGTCCCCCGGCCACGCCCACCGTGGACCCTCGAGCCCAGCCCGCCCCAGCACTCCGTCAGCCTGAGAACGGCTTGGTTTCAAAACCGTCGCCGCCCCCCAGAAGTCCTGGGGGTACCACCCCGCCAAGTCCCCCCAAACACACCCCTCTGTGCTGTCACGTTTATGCAGGGAAACAATTTCCCCTGGAAATTCCTGGGCGGGGAGGAGGGTGTGGGGAGTCACATCGGAGTGGGGAAGAGGACAGCTGACTCTGGACACCGGTCCACGGGTCTACCGGCAGGCCGCCGGGAGGGCCCGGGAGCACCAGGGCAGCGTGTCCCGGTGGGCTGGCCAGGGGCTGCCTCTGACCCTCCCTAGCCCGTGTGCACTCCCAGTTATTGAACCCGGACTGGCAAGTGTGTCATTCGACATCCACGACTTTGAACTGTTGGGTAACATGTACAGTGAAGAATAGAAGTTTAGATTTGTTGTATAAAAAACAAGTTTCCTAATAAAGCAAACTCATTGTGTCAGTGATTTTTATAATGGGGTAATTCAGGTAAAAACAAACCAGTTATTAGAGAAAATATGACTACTGTAAACAAAATTGGACGGTGCTGACGCTCAAGGACGAGGTTTGATTCAACAATCCCTGAGCGCACTGCTTCGCTGTTCGCATTGGCGTTGTTGTTCCAAGTAGACCGAGGTGATGTTATGTTGCTTGGAAGAAATGCATTAAGTTACCATTAGTTAGTGGAAGCCTAAGTGACGTGAATTATTACAGTGTTGCTGTAACCATGACAACCAAGGACGTGGCCACAGTTTTCCTTCTGACTGTTTATGTGACGGGTCTCCTCCCCCTGCGGCCCTGCGTGCTCACACGGGGAGTCAGGTCTGCCGCGTGCTTGCTGTGTGTTTTAATCGGGTCTCAGTCCTGGGCTTGTGACAAGCGTGCTCTTCACTTGTTGTTGTTGTTTTTTTTCTCTTTCTCCAGCAACAACTGGATATTCCCATACCCAAGTATTTCTTGAAGGAGAAGGTGGAAGTCATAAAGGAGCGAGAGAAAATCCTGGCCCAGATCCTGGCCGACTCCGGAGTAGGCCTGCCCATGGTGGTGTGTATATCCTCTTAGCAGCCGCGACGCCCCAGCCCGCAGAACCCGCTCCCCTGCTCCCGAACGGGATTCCTTTCGGTGGGGGAGGGCGGCACCTTCCCCCTTGTTACTCAGGACCGAAGCCTTCGGTGACTCACGTCCACTGTTTGTCAAGGACTCAGAGATCCAGGCCAAACCCCAGTTGTCTGCCGGGCCGGCCGGCCGGCACCTCCAGGGCCGGGTGGGTTGTCAGGTCCGTGCGGTGTCGTGTCCCAGGTTCCCCGCGCCCGCCCGAGAAGCAGCCCGGCCCTGCTCCTGTGGGACAGTCGAGGGCGTGCTCAGAGCTGCCCAGGTGACGACACTTTCTTAGAAGGCCGGCTGACGTTTCATGATGTCAGTTTGGGTGGCACGTGAATCACCCACGTCAAGGGGACTGTCTTGAGTGAGGACAGAAAAGTCCTCAAAGACCCCTCGGGAAAGCAGAGAGCGTCCAGCCCTCTGGCCCCGCGCAGCCGCCCGGCGGTCACCAGGGCTCCCGGGTCAGGGAGACCCATGGCTTCTGGGCGGCGGCCCTGTACGTCCGGGTGACTTCTCCGTGCTCTTTGGGGTCTCGCTGCACCGCACTGTCACCCAAGCTGCTTATTTCTTGAACACACGTGCCGTGTGCAGCCCAGTCTCTGCCCCTACACGGGGGATGCCTGCCTTCTCCTGGCAGCGGGGGGGGCCTGCACCAGCTCCGGGAAACCTCCGGGTCCCTCAGAGGGGGCAGGAGGGAGTGCAGTTGTTTCAGAGCAACGGTGCGGAATGGCCAGGGAATAAATACAGGGACGGCTCCCGCACGCTGGCCACCTGCTCTCTGCCCCAGTGCCCTTGCGCACGTCGGCCGACCCGAGCCCCGAACGGTATCCACCCTGACGTGCGACTCGAGTTGTGGAAATGCGTGCGCGCCACACACGGGAGGGGCGAAGGCTCCCCCAAAACTCTGACTGTGGCGCCAGCCGTGTCCCCCAGGTCACCCTGTCAGCGGTGTCGAAGTCAGCACTGTCCCTCACGTGTGTTTCACGTTCAGATTCTCAGGAGCGTTTGATTTAGGCGCTCCTGTTGCATTAGTGACACACAGATGGCCACTTCGAGTGTCACCGAATCCGTCCCATTGAAAGTCCCCGTCGTTTGCTGCCCGCCCACAGGGCGGAGCTAGTCAGTGTCCAGTTTGGACCGGTAGCAGGCGCTGCAGGGGTCCTTAGAGGGGGGACCGCAGCGCAAGCGCGCGCCCTGCGGAAACGCGCATGGCTCACGGGGAGACGGCGGGCGCCGAGCAGCCAGCACCCTCTTCGTCGGCATCCGGGAACCGCGAGGTTGGGTTGGAGGGAAGCGCGTGACGTTCCTGGGGTCCGCTGGTGGAGGTAAGCGTGCAAACGTTGATTCATCTGGACTTTCCAGCAGAAATCCCCTTCCAGGACTATGCCCCTAGAAGACGCGGTGAAAACGATCCAGACGGCGGAGCGGGCGCGGCAAGGCCGCCTGAGGGCGCTGTTCATGAAGCACATCTTCCTTCAAGAGTTCAAAGTCAGGCACTCCCGGATCATTGGCGAGAGAATAGCGGATGTGGGGGCCGCCGCCCTGCATATCCAGAAGGTGAGACGGGCAGGGAGCTCCTGGCGTGGGGGCCCAGGCGTCTGACGCAGCCGGGGGTGCGTGTCCCAGGGTGTGGTCAGCTCGCAGCCCGGAACTCCGGAGCCCTGCCTCCGGGAGGACAGGATCGATTTTCTCACCCTGGGGGAGCCGTCCGCTCAGCTCGGCCACGTCGTCTAACCTTTATTGTAAAGAGGTATGAAGCACAAGGCGTTTTCTTCACATGTTTTTTAAATCCTTGGTAACTATTGGGGAGAATGCTAGCCCTGGCTGGCGTAGCTCAGTGGATTGAGCACGGGCTGCGAACCAAAGTGTCGCAGGTTCGATTCCCAGTCAGGGCACAGGCCTGGGTTGCAGGCCATGGCCCCCAGCAACCACACATTGATGTTTCTCTCTCTCCCCCTCCTTTCCCTCTCTAAAAATAAATAAATAAAATCTTTAAAAATAAATAAATAAATAAATAAAAAGTGAATGAGCAAATTTAGAAGGATGAATTTAAAAAAGAAAAGAATGCTGCTAACAACTCAGAGAGGCTCTACACCCTCAATGAAATTTTTAAAAATCCATTTGCACACGGGCATGCAGTTCCAGGAGGGTTAGCGCCTGCTAGCTCGCCGACGTGTGCACACCCACGCAAAGCCCCGCGACCACCGCCACCCCTTTTAAAAGCTTTGCCATTTCCCGCATCAAATGAGCACCGTTGGTTTACTCCCCACCTTTTCTCACGTAAAGACTACGTCGCTCCCAGGGATGTGCGCAGCGTAGCCCGTGCTGAACTAGAATCAGGCTGGAGCGGAAGCACAAGGATGTGAAGTGGAGCAGATAGGTCAGGACGCCTGTCCGTCACCGTGGCTGAATGGCGGCGCGGGGGCGGGGGGCGGGGCAGACAGCGGGGGGGCGGGGCTGGGGGCGGGGCAGACCGGAGGCTGGTCTCTGCGCAGACGCAAGCGCTGGAGGTCCCAGCTGAGCGGTCCAGTCGGATGTTTCGTTTCCCCACACAACTGCAGGAATTTTTCTTTTAAAATCGTGAATTGACACCCTGACATCTACCACCATGCTCCTTGCAGTCTGGAAGTTTCTCTCGAAGAGACCCAGGCAGGGGCATCTCACTGAGAAGTAGAGGTCACCTCTTTTTTTCTCCATCCAGCTTTACTGAGACTTTTTCGGTGTATGACAGCCTGTAAGTTTTGAGGCGTGTCCTAAGGTGACACACGAATACATTGTAAAACAAGTATCGCAGCAAGTTAAGCATCACCCCCATCACCTTACACGGTTACCATTTCCCTTGTAGGTCAACTCTCCTAGCAGTGTTTAAGGATCGGACCCAACGGCGTGAACCGTAGTTGCCCTGCTGAATGTCAGACCCCCAGCACTCCCCCGTCTCGCCCTGGAAGTCGGTCCCTTTGCCCGCCTGCGCCCGCTTCCCTCGCCCCCAGCCCCGGCCGCTGCCCCCCCACACTGTCTCTGTAGACTCCGTCTCTGTAGAACCCACGCACGGCGGGACCACACCCTCTGTCCGTCTGCCCCGATGCACTCCCCTGAGCACGGTGCACCCGGGGTGCGTCCGTGCTGTCTCCATGGCGGGATGCCCCTGTTCGCAGCTGAGCGGCAGTTCCTGCTTCCTCCTCTCATCCGCCCACAGCACACGGGGTGTCCCCACGTTGTGGCTGAGCACTGCGGCGAATGTGGGGGTGCAGCTCTCTCTTTGAGATGCAGATTTTATTTCCTTTCAATAAATACCCAAAAGTGGGAATGCTGGACCCCGTGGTGGTTCTGCTTGTTAAAAAACAAAAGCTTTTAGCGGCCTCCATGCTGTTCCCATAGAGGCCGCACCCGTTTCCATCCCCACCAGCAGTGACAAGGGTTCCCCTTTCTCTGCGTCCTCGCCAGCCCTTGTCACCTCCTGTCTTTTTCACGACAGCCCTCCTGGCTTGGGTGGGGCTGTCTCGGGGTCAGCGGAGGGGTTCAGGTCAGCAGGTTTGCTCCGGGGTCTCAGGCCAGCGTGGGTCCTGCCTGGTCCCTGGGTGAGGGGGGCTGCTTCAGGACTCCCGGTTCACTGGGGGGAAAGGGGCGGGCTCTGGGACAAGGGTCCGCTTCAGCGTCCCCAGGCGTGTCCTCAGACAGCAGGGCAGGCCGCTGCTGGGGTTCATTCTTTCTGCAGAGATATTGCCTCTGACCCCAGAAGGAGGACGGCTCCGTCGGCCTGGCCCGCACGGGCGGGCGGCGCCCCAGGCGGCGCGCAGCTCACGTGGCAGGACCGCTGTGGTCGTGTGTGCGTCTGCGTCCTTCTGCGCGAAATCAGTGACCGCTTCTGTGTTCGTAGGTGTGGCGAGGCTTCCATCAGTGCCGGAAAACCAAGCTGGAGAGAGAGGATGAGATGGTGTTCCTGGGCATGGTGAGTTCCCTTCCGCACACGGGGTGTCGGCTGTTCTCCCACGGGGGACCCTGGAAGGCCTGAGTCTTCCTCAGAAGGGTCCTGAGGGAAGAAGGGGAGAAAAACGGGTGGCCGGTGGCTCAGGGAGACACCAGCTGCACCCCCTGAAGGTGGAGACAGCTGGAGCTGCCCACGACACGCTGCCCCGTCGGCTGTCAGCGGTGGTCACGGGACCAGGCCGCCCTGGCAGGGCTGCCGTGGGGGGCGGTGACCCATCAGAGTTGGAAGGCTGTGCTGGTTACACGCCGCTGCGGAGCAGACCCCTGCTGACTGGCACCGCTGCTGGCACCTGCGATCTCCGTCACCGAGCTCGGGGGGCTGTGCTGGGCTGGGACCTCTGCCCGGCGTCCGAGAAACAAGGATGGGCTGGCGCGGGGTCCCCTCCGTGGCCCAGCAGGGGAAGGGCCTGCTCCCAGGCTTGCGTGGCCGTTGGCAGGGTTCCGCTCCCGGGGGCTGTCGGACGGAGGCCTCGGTGTTGCCCATTGTTAGCACGGGGGCCTCTCCGCGTGCGAACTTGCCCCCCAAAGCCAGCCAGGGAACCATGCTGCCCGGTCCCGCCAGGGCCACGGGAGCGGCGCACCTCACCCCTGCCCTCTTAGGCTGTGTAGACACCAGTCACGGGGTCACCCACACCAGGCAGCGGGGGGGCACGAGCACCAGGAGGTGGCAGTAACTGGGGGCTGCCTTAGAGCCTCTGTCTCTGCTGGGGTGTGTCCTCTGTCCCCTCTCCTGCATCCCTCCTGAGCCACGGGGAGACCCCTGCTTCCCAGGGCAGCCCATGCCGCGCACTGTGGACGCTTCTTCCTGACGTTCAGCCGCAGTCGCCTCCCTGCAGTGTCCATAGACAGGCTGGGCTTCCGTCCCTGCGGGAGCTCAGAGTGTCTGGTCCCCCTTTCTCTCGACAGTCCCGCAGGCACTGGAAGGCAGCTCCTGAGTCTTCGCCTCCAGCTCTCTGATGGTCGTTACCGTCGGAGAGGGCAGCCCCCGTGGGGGGCCTGTCGGGAGAGCTGCTCGGCTCTTGTTAAAGGGACACGGCAGTTTAGAAAGGAGAGGAAAGAAAGCCTGGGGAACCCATTACAGCCCCCAGCAGAGGTGTGTGGGCGCGAGCCGGGCCCGCCTCTGTTTTCTAGTCCGGGCCTGTGGGCCAGCCACACGGGTGAGCGGCCCCTGCCCGTCATCACGGGTTTTTAGGATTTAAAAAAATATGTATTTTTTCATGGGGTGGAATATTATTCAGTCATGACAAAGGAGGCAGTCCTGACACAGGGTAGGGCATGGGTGAACTTGGAGGATGTTCTACCAGGCGGAATAAGCCAGTCACAAAAAGACAAAGGCCGTGCAACTCTAAAGGGGTCAAATGCATAGGAACAGAGAGTGGCATGGTGGTCGCCGGGGGTTGGAGGGAGGGGCGGGCGGCTGTGGCTCCCGGGTACAGGTTCAGTTCTGCGCAGTGGGGAGTTCTGCAGTCTGCTGGGCAGCACTGCGGGTACACTCAGCCTGATGGAGCCTCGGACTTAAAAGCGGCTAATAAATTTTGTTACGTGTTTTTTATCACAGTCCACATTTTTGAATTCACTGGGACCCTGACCTGTGTACTGAGATGGTCCCTGTACAAACCATGGCTGTTCACAAATGGCCCAAAAATACAAATGAGCAATTAAATGAGATACACTGTTTCATGGAATGTGAGATGTTGTCAGTTGTAAGGTACAATTGCCTTTAAAGAAAGACAATTCTTACTTGCCTTCATTTGCCTTTAAAGAAAGACAGTATTTGGTCGATTTTTATTTGAGTTCAAAGAAAGAAAATATTTGTTTTTTTATTTGCCTTTAAAGAAAGAAAATATTTGGTCGAAGAAACCAAAAACCCATCCTTGATTGTAATAAGCACCCACCCCTAATTTCAAACACATTAAACCGAAAAGGTCGCATCTTAGGGCCGGCGGCCGAGGGCGAGCTGCGCCTGTTCCCAGCTGTAACTATGGACAAGCGCGTGACGCACGCCCACTCTTGCACACGGTGCGTTGGGTGGGCCCGGCCGTTCCGAGCGACGGTGAGCCAGCCGCCACGAGGCCATTACGGTCTCTGTAGCCACCCCACCCCCCCGATTCTGTCGTCAGAAATGGAGATCTGCGTGATGCACACACGGAACTTCCCCGTGTTCTTCTTAACAGTGAGCATGAGAATGAGCAAACCCAGCGTTGAGAGCAGTGACGCAGTGAGCTGACTCACGGTGGGGCCTCCGTCCCCGTGGCAACGTGCCGCCACCAGGAGCATGTGTTTATGACTCATGTTTGCTGGCACGACAACACGCAACGTGAAACTGCAATTTAGGATTACACGTATAATGTGGTTTCAACCAAACACACGCAAACCCCCATTCACTTGCAGACAAAGGAAAGGAAACACACCCAGGTCAGCGGTCGTTTTCCATGTGGGGCCTTGGGAACATTCTTTTCTTGTCCGTAATTGTCTGTATTTTCCAAAGCGTTTGACTTTTGCTGCATTGGCTGGAAAAACAGTACACATTCAAAGATAAAAGTAAGTGGCCCAGCACATGGTTGGTGTGTTCTCCTGAGACCCCCACACGGAGTGGGGTCCCTGCAGAGGCAGCCGGGGAGCCACGCCCCGCTGCTCCTCCTCTGAGCTGCCCTTGCGGGGCGCACAGGTGTGGGCCGTGACGATACAAACAGCGGCCGTCCCCAAGTCTCTGCTTTAAAAACTGAACTCAGAGTCCGAAGGCTCACTCTGAGATGACCTGAGCTGAACGAGAAACCTGGTGTTACCAGCTGCTTCAATTCAACAGCCCCCGTGTCCTTGACCCCCGCCCCACCCACGTTCACTGGCCGCCTGCTGTGTTCACACGCCGGGAACCTAGGGGACGGACGGCCACCCGGTATTTTTTTTTCATCATCGAGTCTTAATATTTTCCATTGATACCACATAAAGATAGAATTACACGTTTTTTGTTTTGATTTTTTTCTGTTTTGCTTTGTCATTTCTCTCTGCTCTGCTCCAATAAAAAAAAATGCCTACTCATTTTTCAGCAATGCTGAGTTTGGATAGTATAGAATGACTTGTCTGCTTTCTATTAAATGTGACTTTCTCTCAGCGTTCACGGCCTGTTGAAACTTTACACCACTGTGAAATGCATGGACTCAATTTATAGAGAACGCTGTCTTCTGTCCGCTGGCTGATCACCGTAAAAATCCATTACCCCCAGTCCACACAGTGAGTTCAGTTGAGTGTATTGTCCCCTCTATCACTAATTCAGGGGTACTGTCTGCTCGCTCTGGTGCGCCGTGCCGTCGGGGAAGCCGTTGACCGGAACGGTCTCCAAATCTGCATGAGGACCTGGTGAGTTTCCGGGGGCAACTGCTTAGTGACCAAAAGCAGAATTGGAGCAAGAGACATTGCATTGGAGCAAGAGTCACATATTTTTTTAAAGATTTTATTTATTTATTTTTAGAGGGAAGGGAGGGAGAGAGAGAGAGAGAGAGAGAGAGAGAGAGAGAGAGAAACATCCATGTGCGGTTGCTGGGGGCCGTGGCCTGCCACCTAGGCGTGTACCCTGGCTGGGAATCGAACCTGCGATGCTTTGGTTGGCAGCCCACGCTCAATCCACTGAGCTACGCCAGCCAGGGCTACACATTTTTTTTTGACGTGGCCACCTTCAGTGCGGACGCTCTGACACCGGCCGAGGAAAATGCACAGCACTCTGCAAACCCACGTGCGGCCGCTTTAACGGGCGGCGCCGGCGGGGTGGGCCCAGCAGAAGGAACCCTAAGGGATGCGATGCGTTTCCTGCTGTGGGTCCCTCTGAAAGCAGCTGTCCCGCGGTCCCCACCGTCTCATATTCTGTCACCCTGAAGCCATCGGTGTTTGCGTTGGAATGGCCACCGGGGGCGCTCATTACAGAGAAAGCTGCCCCTCTGGAACGCATCCACGGAACCCTCCAAGCACCGCACCACCCTGCTCACGCCCAGGCCCGAGCGGGAAGCAGGCTGCACGCCGGGTTATTTTTTGGTCAATAGATTAGACTCCTTCCTTAGTAACGAACACCCCCCTAGGAGCCTGGGCACCCCGGAGCACCCCTCCCCCCCGAGGCGGCTTCCCGCACCCTCGGCCCCCACGGGCCCCACCTCGGAAAGGGTTGCCAGGGCCAAGGCGGGCGAGGAACCACGACGGAGCGCCTCCATGTGGTCCCACTTCAGCGTCCGCCAAAGCCGTGCCGTCCAGCCCGGCCCCGGGTGTGAGCTGTTACCTTCGGCTCCCGATAACGTCGTTTGCTGGTTTCCAGAAATAAAGGCATTCTCCGTAAAAGGACTGCCATAATGTGGGGTGTTTTGTTTTGCGTTGTTTCAGATTTGTTTTAGAGTTTAAAGGCAGAAGAGCAACTGTCCCAGAGAGAAGCAGTGTCCTAGAAGTGGACGGTGCGTGTGCACCCCCAGCGCTGACGTGTCTGCTCGCCGTGCCCGTGAAGAACCGGGATTGAGGGGGCCGGCTGGGGCGTGTGCCCGGCTCTGCCGCGGGGGGGCCACTGCGGGGGCTGGAGTGACACGCCCTCCCACCCTCCGAGTCTCAGCCCCCCCTGTCCCAGGCAGGCCCGTGCTGCCCGGTCTGAGGAGTGTTGAAAGCAGGAGGGGATGACATGCCTTCAAGGGATGGTGGCCGAGCCAACCACCTTGGAAGGGTGCAGCGTGTTGTCATGGCAACTGAGTGATTTCCTACCCTGGCAAGCTGTCGAGAAGTGTGCTAACTTTTCTGTGGAACAAAGTGAAATTCTTCACAGCAGGTCGCTGGTTTCAAAATAGAAAATATCTTGGCCTCTGTCACTCGGATCCAGCAGCAGTGCGGTGGGAGCAGCCCACCGCCTGCGTCGCAGGTGCAGCTGCCGGGGGAGATCCGGCGAGTCCCCGTGGGAGCGGGTGCCGGCCACGCACCTCGGGCACCCCATGTGCC